TATTCATCATACCAATTCATTGGTATATTTCCCACAGTGTTCCTGATGTCCTAAAAATATAATATTTACATTGTCAAAAAATAATATTCAAAATCTAAACAGTGAAATAGCTAGGAAATAAAAACCCACCTCTTCGTCTGAGGTGTCCATTTCAGCTTCGTATTCTACATAGTCGTTTGGTTTTTCGGCAGGCGGTAGGCCGTTGACCTCTTCAGCAGGCTTGGAGTCCTCCATTGTTTTTTTTATTACAAATCCGAACTTATATCTTTAATTTACAAATTACTATATTAATTATTAACACGTTTTAACTACAAAACTGACATTATAAATAATAATAAATAATAATTATGCCGACATGCCGTATTGCCGAGTGCCCGTGTCAGTGTTAAGAAGTCACATGTATTTTGCCAATTGCCCGATTGCCGTTGCTAACATCTTATACTATGGAGAAAACAGATTAACGAAACGCGCTCTAGTGGAAACAATTTCTACCCCCCGATTCGGGATGTATAGATGTAGTTTTAAATTGGTTATTTTACTTTTTCTAATGAATTCATTTTGTTATTGAAACCTTATACGCTAGTAAAGCTTACCGTATGCCCTGGTAAGTACAATTTCTACTGGTGTATCAAATACATTTCACTTAAAGCACTAAAGCAGTTAAAGCAAAACAGTTATTTAGCCATGGCATAATATGATCTAAGGAAAATACATACAATCTGATAATGATATAATCTATTCTGTGATAGTACTATCTGATTCTGGAATATTGATAATACACATGTGCGTATTATCTAAGTCTGAATCTGAAATATAAGAATTCAGTAGTCGATTCTCAAGTTTTAATTTATGAGGTACATCAAATAATTGCATACAATTTTTAAACATAAAAATTTGCTCAATACCCATTACCCAGTTGAAATTTTGAGAATTTTCTGGAACAATGTGTAGCGTTAACGAAGAAGGAACCGAAGCATTCGAAGTACTTAAGCCTATTGAACCGTAAGACTATCATTTTATTTATTATTTTAATGAGTTTACATCGAATCTAGAATCATAATTTATTAATATCTTTTATAAACTAAAAATTCCAAATTTAATCTATATTTTATTTATTTTGAGATATTGACGGTATTGTTTTTACACAGATTAGAATTAAAATGTCGTAAATGTCTTATCGAAGATGGAAATGTTGTCTTACAAAAAAAATTTGTGTACTGCAAGTGAGTAAAAATTATTCGACAATTGACTTCCTTAACTAACGATAACTTTTATCATAGGACTTGTTTTGTACCTATGGTTACTCATAAGTTTCGTGCTACCCTTGGCAAATCAAAATTAGTCAATAGAGGTGAACGTGTACTGGTATGTGTAAGTGGCTCCCAATCTTCAGTATCTTTACTACATATGATATGGACAGGACTACAGCAATCTACTTACAAGAGATTAACATTTGATCCTGTAGTGTTATATATTGATGGTAATGACATTTACTTGGTTAATGTTGTACTGATTAAAATTAATTCATTTTAAAACATTTCAGAAAGTGTTTTACATGATTATCCCCAGGATCAAGTGAATAAAATTCAAGAATTTTTTGAAAAATACGGTTTAACTTACCACATAGTAAAGTTTGCTGCAGCCGTTTATTCGGATAATTGTTTGAATGAAGACACTAATATTGACCAACATAATGATAAACTAAAAAATATATTTAACAATTTATCTGACCTTACATTAAAAGAAGATATGTTAATGAAACTTCGGTAACTATCATAGATACATCCATATAATATTTTTATTTATTCATTATTTTTAAATTTCATTTTTAGAAAACGTGCAATAACAAAATTAGCTGATCTGTTAAAATGTACCCGTATCATGACTGCAGAAAATGAACATAAATTATCTATTCGATTGCTTTCCAATGTAGCTCTAGGTCGTGGATCTCAAATATCTTTGGACATAGTAAAAAAAAACTAAATTTATTTTCTTATTAATATTATAATCTAATACAGGTTACCTACTACATTCCTTACTCCTTAATAAGAACATAATACAGTGAAACCTCCTATAACAAACACTTCTAAGCATTGGATGTTTTCTTAGGAACAAACTTCAAGTTGAACCCACCAAATAGACAAAATTTTAGCAACTGAGTGTCTGGTATTTAAAGTTTCCACTGTGTAATAAATCTAAAGACACTATCGTAACTAATACATAAAATTAAATTAATATTTTTTTTGTTTAATTTTTAAACATTTTAAATAATACATTACACTTAATGCAATTGGATATATTTTTTTAATTTAATTTTACTCCCAATGCTCTAAATTGAGAAAACTACTAAAATAAAGTTATACAAGTTATACATATATAATATACAGCATAAATCACCGCCATGAGCTTTATTACATTAAAAGACTACTTGCAATGATAACAATTTAAAAATGTTAGCAATAACTCCATAATATGATTGTTCATTAAATGGTTAGAAACTTAAAACAAGATATCAACCCTAATGAGCTTAACACCAATCTACTACTGTTTGCCGATTACTATGAGCAATTAATCATTATATTTTATTCTGTAGATATGAATTTGTTGAACATTATTATTTATTCAAATATATGCTGAGGTTTTGGTGTTTTCAAGTTTATAATGTAGCATCAGGAGCACGATAACTTGATCACTGAGATCAATATGTCATGTCTTCAGCTTATATTAAGACTCGTCCTAACAGTAAACTAACTACCAAATGCAACAAAAAAAAAACTGGCTACCTTTTGGTTTTTGTAACCTAATTCTACTGTATATTCAATATTATATTTATAATATGATTTCATAAATAAAGCAATTAATAGATGAATTTCTATAGCCATTGCATTAGTGTGTATACATAAATGTACAATGTTAAAATTTTAAATTATTAACTGATTACATTTTCAAGACTTACATTAATATATATTATAGGGGCTTGCAGTTAATAATAAAAATAATGACAAAACATCTTTAGTCACAATACGACCAATGAGGAATCTGTCTGCTAAAGAAATTTCATATTATGCTTTATTCAATAAGTTAGATGATTTTATGCACTCAAATTTCTTAACAGCTGTATGTATACAAAGGCATTATGTGTATATCGACCATCTGAAGAACTAAATAGGTTTTAATTGATTTTAGACTAGTGAAGATGAATCAATACAAAAAACTACAGAACGATTTGTAAATGATTTGCAAGTTGATTTTCCTTCTACTGTATCAACAATATTTAGAACTGGAGAAAAAATATCTGAAAAAACATCAGCTATAGCATATTGTTTGTTATGTCTAGTATGTACTTATTCTATTTCTTTTTTTTTGCATCTCATAATTCTAAAATATCTTGAATAATGTTCACAGGGCATTATGGAAGTCAACATGTCACCTTCTTCAGCTATGGAAGCAACAAAGTATTCAAAATATGTTTCGCTAATGGGAGTTAAAGCATTAAAACTTAGTTTAAAAGAACTTAAAAATGAAGAGACCAATGAAAAAACTTGTAATGGATGCAAATGTAAAAATAAACAGGATTTAAAAGAAGAAATTATTGAAAGCTTGTGTTATGCTTGCACACATATAATTCAAGACTTAGTAAGGTTTAATTTAATAATTGTTATTAAATTAAGGCTGTTAAAAGCGGGTTTTTCCTGCATTTAGACCAATAAGCAGGAGAAAAAAGCTTCCTGAGGTCCAATTGTAATTTGGAAAAAATTTTGTAATTCCTTATTCTTCTTCCTGGGTTATGAAAGAAATTAATTTTCGATTTTTTTTTTATATTGACACTTAAATAAAAGTAGTGTTTGAAAAAAAAATTAAATTAATTTGGTTCTATACTAATGCAACAATACAAAAAAATCGAAAATCCATTTCCTACATACCCTAGAATTGAGAATAAGAAATTCAAATGTTTTCAAAATTAAAATCAGGCTTTGGTACTGCGTGAATTTTTCTTCCACTTTTATGATTGCAAATATGTACGTAACTGATTTCCAAGTATCTTAGCCATAGTTTATCTTTAATGACTTAGTGTTAGGGGAACTCATGCACACTAATGATCAGCCATTACACACACCGTTGCACATCACTCACGATGGATATAGATTATTGCCTAAATCCAATATAAAATGGTTTGCTTTCAATAAAAAGCCTTCATTTTTTTAAAACAAAAAACACATGATTATGGAATATAGTTACATTTGGGATAAGAGGAAGTGAGGCGCAATATTAGTTTTCTTTACCAGATTCACGCGCAACATAGATCGAGTTCATGTGAGATCGTTTTTTTTCTTATATTTTTTAGTAAAATCACCTTTTACATTTTTATCCATGGTTTGGCTTAACAGTTTTAAACTTTCTTATTATATTATTTGATTTAAAAAAATTAATGCTATACATTTAAATGGATATTTAATTGTTTTGAGACAATGTTTTAGACGAATCCGACGTCTCTTCTCAAAAATATTATTCCCTATAATTTTGGTGATAAGTGGTTATACACCCAAGATTTAACTCAAATACATAAAAAAAAATTATTGTTGATGCCGTTCGCGGGCAGGAAAAAACAAATAGTGCACTAACACTTTTAAGTGTAATATATAATACGACTATAAATTTAATGTTATTTTCAGGAATCTTTGGATGATTTACCAGAAGACATACTTAATAAAGAAAAAGAAAGATTACAATTTAAAAAAATGGAAGAACAAATAAAGGATTTTTTGCTGTGATTCTTAATAAATGGTTAAACTAAGTTCCTTGTATTATACTTTTTTTTACATTAGTAAAAACACTTATCTTTATTTAAAGATAAACGATCGTATAAGAAAAATAACATTTTTAATATGTTGAGTGTTGCTCCAACCTAAATTGTTCATTGAAAATTAATCTTACATCACATGACAGGTAATATTTTATTAATTAAAGAGGAATAATGAAGTACATAAATAAACATAATATTAATCAATTACAACTTGTATATTAAAAATACATAGTTTATTTATCAGTTATCACAGCAATTTCTAAAACTTTATCGAGTAATATATTGGTAATTGCCAATTGGTATCTATAAAGAAAATTTGCATTTTTATATAATAGTATAAAAAAAATATATCTAGCACTAAGTAAAATTTTTACTTTATTCTAGTATTGTATTGTCAAATGTAGAAACTTATTAATTTGCCTATATACATTTTTAAATAAGGCGTGCTCAAGTCAACAAGAGATATTTCAAATGTGCAAAAAGTAACTTTTACCAGTAAAATAGTTAAAACAAAAAAATAATTTATAATACTAAAAAAAAAATCATAATAGTAATTTTTACAAGTATAAATGTATAGATTTTCTCTTTAACTAATCATATTGCAATATGAATTATACAATATCATATATAATTACAAAATATATAGGAAACCGTGTGAAACCCATGTCCCTTATTCAATATTATAATTTCATCCATCAAAAATATTTATGAAAATAAAAGTTTAAATATATAGTAAGAAATACATGTCTTATATGTTTAAGTTTAAAAAGAAAAGAATGTTTAAATTAAGCTCTTTGGGCTGGAATAATAGAAGAGTCTGATATCAATTTACAATTAGATGAAAGGTGAATGTCATTTTTAGTTTTACCAATTTCAGAATTTGTAGTTGTTTTTGGCTCTCCAAATGCAGACGCATTTTTAGTTATTAGGTTTTTAATACCCTTAAACTGCTTTCTAACTAAATCCATACTTTGATTAGCATCAACAATCACTACCTAAAACAAACAATAGAATACACATTTGTTAAAATCTAAACGGTAAATTGTTATCAATCAGAACTAAGTTCTATAACTAAAAGTAGTTTTCTAAATGAACAAGATAAAAAACATAAACATACATTATGTTTATCTTAAGAATAACAAGGACTTGCATTCTTTTTACCTCAACCTTTGTCAAGTCTATAGTTCATCTAACATTATAATAAATTTACTTACAGGTATATTCTTTGGTACGTCAGTATTGTGTACATTTAACCACTTGTCATGTAATTCATGTAAATGTTGTATGTATTCCAATGAAACATCTTTTTCTTCAACCCTATTCCTGGTTTTGATTCTTTGGTACGCTATTTCTGGATCGGTCCTCAAATAAACTAAAAAAAATTTTAAAAATATATTTAAAAAAAGTTTATGATTAGATTTATTATGCCATACTAATGAGGTCAGATTCGATTTGAACATTTTCTATTAGCCACTTATACCATGCATCTAGCACAGAATATTCTGGAGCCGCCATAAGGTTGTCTTTGTATAAGTTTTCAACAAATATATTTCTGGAAATGTAAATATTTTATATTGTTATTTAAATTCCTTCTTATTCATCAAATTAGTCATATCATACAAACATTTTAAATTGTATTCATTAAATTGTAATTGCCAAGTATAAATTAAAAGTACCTACTCATGCACCTTTTATTATATAGTATATACTATGTTTCACAATAGAACACACCAGTTCTGCACAGTCCCCTTTCCTTCATGTCACCCTACTATCAATACTGTTTTCCCTATAGCAGGATGTTGCATTGGGATGAACAAAAAAACCGATTTTGGCTGGGCCACAGTATGTTTTCTGGTGGAACAAAGTATGATAAAATTCAACACAACTTAAAACCACAATAGCATACATTTAAGTACAAATCAACTATACTCCAAGCCACAAGAAGTAACTCGTGTCCCAACCAAATTTAATTTGATTCCCAACATTTCCCACCTATTTGACATATCGACATTTTAAGGTCACAATTGTTAATGCTCTACACTCCACAGCGCCACACTGAATGGCACGAAAAGGGGGGCAATGAGGCTTTGTAACATTCGCGGCCATGAGCGAAACGGGTTACTCTCTCATGGCACAGAGTATACATTTCTATTTATATTAATTGAAGTAGTTATAATATTCATGTACTTGTACATTTTATGTTTAAAACAAAAATTGTTATTCGATGTTAACTAATTTAAAATTAGGATAAACAAATTTTATTTTTTGGTTTAAGTATATTTAAATTCAATTACTCAGATTGTGAACATCATTGTTTAAAAATCAGCTATCTTTTATTGATATTTAACGTAAACAAATAATTACATTTATCTATGAAGTGTTTAGCTAAAAAGGAAATTTGACAATATCTAACAACTAAAATTATAGTTAATTATTTAGTAATAATAAGTAATAACTATATAGTAATCATTTTTACCATTATAGTTTTATAATAATAGTTAATTAATATAAAGCAAAATCATTTTCATGTTTATTACTCATCATGATTAGGGAGAATCGCGGAAAAAAAAGTCCCGGTAAAAAAAGTCTCACACTAGGAAAAAAAAGTCCCAATGAATATATAAATACATACAAAGTCATATAATATCATAAAAGATGTTAATTACTTACAATTTATTACAATAATAAATAGTCAATAATAAGTACTTAAGTCAAATAAAAGTAAATAATAATAATACAATTAAAGTACCAATATAATTATAATAATAATGCTATAAAATGCTATAATTTATTATGGTAGATGACAAATATATGTACAAGCATTTTATTCATTACACTTACACAGTTACACACTAAAATACAAAGCACAACTTACTATAGAACTGTACAAGTACCTACAAGAATAATATTTTTTTTTCGGGACTTTTTTTTCCGATTACCGATTAGGGAACATTAAAGCAATGCTATAAAACTATAAAATTTAGATTAAATATTGAAAAAAAACATATTTCAATATTTTATTTAAAATAATAATTATTTGGTGTTTCAATATAAGAATATTTATGACAATGTTTATTGAATACTGTGATATATTATTATATATTTATATTTTTTACTCTTGATAGGCATTAACTTAGGTACTAATAATATATATTTTCCCAGTCAAATATTAAAATGATTAATAAACATATTTTAAAATTGTATTCGTGTCAACACAAATCACATACACAAGTCATTGAAATGCTTAAAATATAGACTACACCATACAATTTCAAAAATAAAAGATTATTTAACAGTGCATTATTTTATTACAGAATTAAAGAAAAATTTGAAATTATTATTTTTTAATGTAGTTAAAGAGTACCTAGAATTTAGATTTTTAACAACAATGATAATAAGTAGAATTGTAGGACAAGTTGGCATGAAAACATTTCCATAATATTATGACTGTAGATTGAAAAATAATAGGTGCAGGCAAATTAAAACGAAATTTAAAATTTAAATAACTGCTGTTGGTAATAATGTAATCGTGCCTAGTAATTTGCTATTTGCCATTTTTTTTAGTTACTCATTAAGGTTAGGAATGTCAGTCATTGAATCATTTAAAATAATATTTTGTAATCATTAATCAAACACATCTGGTTATCAATTTGTTTAAATCAAGAAAAAAAACCGCCATACCCCCCACTATCAATATAATAAAATATTATGTATATATATATATGTATGTATCTCAATATAGGCATTAGGCAAGCATGAGGCAACGCCGTCATTACCAAAAAATTGTCGAATATTTTAATACGAGTGCATCCGGCTAAATGAAATGATTTTTGTGACAGCAAATTGAAACAAAAACATAATAATAGTTACCAAAACACCTGTAGAACTGTACGAAAATACGACCGTGGGTAGAGCGCACACTCGAAACAACTACTGACTTCAAAGGCCCAAGATTCAAACCGAAAAAAAACGAGTATCCCCTCGTCAATTTAACTCTCACCAATTATATACTTGTTATCCCATTACATGCCAGTTTTACCCAATGCAACGGCTAGCCCATGACAATTTTGTTGTCCACCGCTAATATAACAATAGCATTTAAACAATACGATACTTAAGAACAACGAGATTGAATGGGCGGGAAAAAAAAATATTAGGATAAATAGACAAATTTCAAAAATGAGCCAATTACCTGGCGCTGAAGATGGACCGTTCCATTATCTTGATGTTCTGCCCGGGTAGTTCTGGCCTGGCCTGGTGCAGTTCCAACATGGTCCTCTGCACGATCGATTGGAACGCGAAGCTCCACCGTTTCGGGTCTTCGTACATCAGGCCCTGGAAAAACGAAAGCTTTTACAACACACCGTACACGGGTGTAACGTAGGGACGGCCGCGACCGTTACGACGTGCTCACCAAAAAGTTGTGGCCACGCACGTCCTGCCACTTGTGTACAGGCTCTTTAGCGAGGAACACGTTCGGGCAGTCAGCAAACTGTTCCAAGAACGTAGTCTTCCCGCTGCCCACGTTACCCTCGACGAACACCGTGTACGGCCGGTCGCAGTATTTGTTGGCGGCCATGTCTGCTCGAGTCTTGGAAATAAACTCAGCGGCGATGTCGTTCGGTAGTCGACCGGGACGTGAAGTGTTCGGTGGATGGACACGGAGGCGCGAAACCGGCGGGGCGCAGCGAAGCAATGACGTTGTAGACAAAGTAGACAGGCCGCGGCGGCGTCGACAACACAAACACAACGAATTCATCGCTTTTAACCGCCAAAACGCGTTGTCCCCCCTGACGACCCGTCGTCGTCGTTGTTGTTGTTGCTGCTGCATGCCTGCATTACAAGTTACAACCAATTACAACCCAACCGTTTAATGACAAGCCGCCGCTGTTATCGCTCTCGAGTCGAGACTATTATCAATTCAAATGTCATCACGTGGGACGTGCGCGTGACCGGCAACGCCGCCCGCCATAATTTTGTAGGTTTTGAACTTTGGGACTTGGGTAATAATTTCTTAATTGAAAACCGCGAAAGAAAAAAAAAACACACCACAACGGTGGAGCTATGAACAGTGGGTTTCAACCTTGAACACTTTACGCCCCTATCTCACTAATAATAATAATATAATCGGATGGACAGATGGTCGTAGGTCATTCCCCCCTAGGTTTTTACATCTGAAACTCAAAAAAACGAGTTATTACTGTTTATGATCATTTCATTAATTTTGTTGAAAGCAATTCCCCGGTATTCGATATCTATACGGCTGTAATATTGAGTTTAGATCACCGAACTGCATACATATATTATTAAATTAAATTTTCAGTGTACAATACCTATCGCATCGCATATAATAATCTATATAAAATATAAAATATTTATAGTCATGGTAACTACTGACTGGTAAGAACTAATAAAAAACAACTCAGAAGTAATTTATTATTACAATATTATGTATGTCAGTTATGTCTACATATAATCATCATTGACTTATTAATTATTCTTTATAGTTCTACGATTATCGTCAATTATAATACGTTGTACAGCACTATATAACACTCGCCGATAAGTGCATTATTATAATTAATAATATATATTAACAGATATCGAGAGTCAAGTTAACGGTTGAGTCATACACAGTATAATTGTCACCACATGCGACATACCGAGTAATCGCGGGAAATTCCTAGATGTTTATTTTCGTAGTTGTATATTTAAATATTGTTCGCATTCTGTTGCGCACTTGCACTTTATATTTTCATTTTTCCCACTATTTCTGCCGCTATCCGGTCGCAACATTTTCACAACAACACTTTAGGGATCCAAATAGTCAAAACACAATTTTTTACACCATTCATCCTCGAACAAAAATAATTACATTATATATGATTTATGGATGGCCTTACCAGAGGTGCATATAATAAGTGCCATGTCGACTAGTCACCGGCACCTTGTAGATACTTTTCAAGTTTTCTGATGCATCATTTATGTATTATCGGGGGGTGCCAGCAAAGAGTCATTGCACCCACTTGGATTTTTTGGACCAAAAAATCAGTGTGTAATAATTTAAATATGTGAGTATGTGACTACGTATGTATGTATCACATACATTTATAATTTTACACCCACTGAACTGATTCTCTGCGGGCGCTCCTGTGTATTATGATTTAGGAATATTCAGATACACGATGTGCCTACTAATTATACAATGATTAATTATTATAGTATTATACCTCATCAGTAGTCAGTACGTCCCATAGAATATAGATAGTACATCCTATATACCATGGTTTAAATATACCATTTATGGTTTGTTTAGCCACGCTGTATACTTGCCTATTGTTTACATATTTTGTATACATTATTAGATTATAAATGTCATTGTTATAATTACCTATACAATATTAGGTTCAATTTCAAATGTTCAAATTATTTTTTTAATAATTTTCATTGGGTTATTAAACAATCTGTACGCAGTTAAATTTTAAATAATAACAGTATAATGGGCCGAAGAAATATAATATTATTTGTATAAGCATGTCGACATGGTAGAACGGACTATCCAGCGATGATGCTTAAATGTTGTTATCCTTATATATTATTTAAAAGATTTATTTATTCTTTTTTACGTAGGCACCAATTTCGTGACGACACTATTTAATATTTTTTCAATTTTTTTCACAGAATTGTCCAAATACCTTCTTGAGCGTCAATAAGTCGTCCGATTTTTTCTTTTCTTTTTTGTCTGAAGAAAGGGAGAGGGGAATTGTATTCAAGGGTTACGTTTATTTAGTGTTAAAATTAAGCGATTTTTTTTTCACAAGTTGGTAACGAATGAGCATACGAGTGATACGACTTTTTTGACTGAAAAAAAAAATGTATCTCACGAGGTAGCAGCAAGAATTCAAGCTGGGAATAAATGTTACTATGGATTGTCTAAGGTACTTTGAATATCCTATTATAACAAAAATATTCTATAACAAAAATGTATAGTCATATTAAATTTAGTTTATTAAAGTTCACAACTGTTAGGCTTATGAATTTAACAAGGTACTTACAATGACTACCAAGAAACATTTAAATCCACTAGTTAGTTAATGATTTTATACATATAATAAATTTTACTCATGAGCCACATGAAATTACAATAAATGTCACATGCCCCAAGTTGCTGACCCCGGGTATGTACCGATATAAAGCTATATGTACTAGTTCTCATAAGAAAATATATATTGTCATGCATGTACTCAGAGCAGATTGTGGAGAGAGCATGTGCAAGTATGAGGTACATAGGAGTGAAAAGAACAAAATTCCTAGCGTTGGCGTCCATTTGGTAATTTGTAACTTTGTATTGATGGAACCAACAAAAGTATTCATTTCTTCAATGTGATCATTACTGAGGAGGGATTACAGAAGTACAGACTCCATCACTATAGTAGGTAGTTTTCATTTAAATAAAATTAAAAAATAAAGCTATGTTTGGAATATTTAATCAGATTAAATATTTAAAACATTAAAACATAACGAAAAGGAATTTGTATTAATACTAGATATTATGAAATAATGATATATTACGGTATAATTGACATTTATGTACACAAATTGTATTGTCAACAACAAACTATAGAATATTACTCCCAATAAGCGTTCAGTAAGTCTTCAAAAAGTTCTTTTACAACTATTTTATCATATTATCATACATACAAACATAATAGTACAATAACACATATAATAGAAAACATTATTTTCAATCACAGAAATATAAAACTGAACAGCATAATAATTTGGTAATTGTAAATTTTATGTATTTCAGAAGTAATTTCTTATTACATATTATATCACTCTTTAAATTAAAACAATAAAAATATATTACATTTAATAATAATCAAGCACCTACGTTTTCTGGGTCTGAATTTTCGCCAGCATCATAACTTGAATCAGATAATGGAGTAAGTGACCCAGGAGAACTTCCACCACTCTCAAAGCTGCTGCTGCTACTGCTACCACTTGAAAAATGATCATTCATCCCACCTGCTGCCATCCCTCCAGCTATCATTTCTTCCAAATATGATGGAAACACTAATTAAACATATGAGCGCAACTTTTATTTTAAACTACTGTTTACTTAAACATTAATTATTCATTATGTAAGACAAAATAATAAATTATTGCAATACGTACAAGACATGTCTTCATCTTCTGACCCTGAACCTTCAGAATCAACTTCTTCATCGTCTTCTTCTTCAACCTAAAATTACAAATATGATTAATTATAGTTTATCAAAATAATCACAAAAAAACTTACAGCTTCATCTTCGTTTCTAGATCTACCAACATCATATATTCGTACAATTGACTCATCGATATTTTCAAACATTCCTTGATTTTCAACAATAGCTATCTGAGTATCAGAACTATTGCAAGCCATATGATATATGAATTTTTTAACATCAATAGTAGCTAATCACGTAAAACAATTCATAAAAAAAAAATTATTATTATGTTCTAAAATGTTTTATAAATACAAATTTAACATTATGTTCATTATATCTACCTATATTTGAGTAGTCATTAGGATCTAAAGTTTTAAATGAAGTTTGGTAAGAGGAATCATTTTCAATTTCTTGATCAATCACATACAAATACATTCCTTCTCCTGATTTAGAGAATGTCACATCACATTGATCAAGACTTGACACTGTACGCAACAACTGGAATGTGCGCATATCCCAGACTTCTGTATTTGATATAATCTTTGAATGTTATAAAAAGCAAAAAAAAAATAGTTTTTGGATTACAATAGAAATCTAATATATTTTATAAAAAAAATATGTCTTACCTCAAGTCCATTTGGATGGAAAATTCCACTCACACATTGATTTAATTTATCAAACTTGTGGATTTCTTTTCCAGCGTTGGCATCCCATAATACACCATCTGATAACACTAATTCATTTGTAGCATCAAATGTTGCTCGATTTCTACTGTACTGATTAGAATGTCTTGGAACTAATGATATTATTCTTTTACTGGTTTCTAAATCATATATCTAAGAAAAAAATTACAAATTAGAAGTTAATTATAATAATTATAATGGGTATCTGGAATGCAGTAATTACTGTTGCTATTTCAGCTTTAGTTCCAAGTATTTTGCTTTGGTCATAATTGCTAAAAGTGCAGTATTCTTCATGGTCCAAAGAATATCTGAACAAAAAAATATTTTAGAACATAAGACTTAAAAAAAAAACAAGTTAAAGTGAACTTACTTAATATTGATTTCATTTTCAGTTATAGACCAAAGAGATGTCAAAGGAGATCGCCAAGAAGCAGATGATAACAACAGCTTTTCATTATTACTGCACTGTAAGTCTATAATATATGAATCGTGGGCTGATAATGATAATTCTTCTTGAGAAGTAAATAAATTGAATACTTTAATTTCACCGTTGTATGTCCCAATAGCAACACGATTTTGGCTCTAAAATTAATAATTGTATTTTCAAAACAACACATTTTATTTAAATAGACTTACCAAAAATTCACAACAAGTGAAGTATGCTTCCTCATCATCCATGTGGAAATTGCGAGTTGGACAAAAACGACTGTGTATGAGTCTTTGGTCTAGTTTTCTAGAATGTATGTTTTTGGAATATCGCATAGCAAAGTTTGTACACATTGAGCTCCTTGGCTTAGGATCAGGACATTTGTGTGGACTATAAAAATATATGATGAAGTATATATTTGTTTGAAAATGTAATATTTAAATACCTACACAAATAAGTTGAATTGAGGACATGTAACCATAGGATGCTTGCATGAAGCATGTTGATTGGTTAAGTATTCTGTAACAATAGATTCTAAACTAACTTTTGAGTTAGTATTATTATCAGTAGGTAATGTTAAATCTTGGTCAATTTTTTTATGAACTGACTTAGACATAGGTGACACAAGTTCTAGCTCTGGCTCTGGTTTTGGACGATTTTCTAATCGTCTAGATAAATAAAATACAATTGATACATTCGTCTAAGATATATAAACATGATTAATAAGCCAAATATTAAATAAATAAAAAATACCTATTGACATTCAAACGTATTGGGGTTGAATTTATTCTGGCACTAAATCCAGCACCTAAAGGACCATTTGACGAATTGGCTAACTCAGATTTTTGGTTCTGAATCGAGTGTCTAGAACTTATTGGGGATATTCCTCCTCCAATTGACCGATTCTTTAGTATAAAAATATTTATTAGTATTTATGTAATTAGCCAATAGAACTGTCATAATTAAAACAGTTTATTAAGAAGATGTGATACCAGCATGTATTGTGTCTCTATCTTGCAAACGTTTAGCATAGAAAATTTGTATTCACCAGATTCTATAATATTGTTCATTTTAATATTATTCTAAATAGAACAACTATCATATTTGAAGGTAAAAAAATCTAATTTTTCTTGTTTCATAATTTAAATGCAATTTATGAACTTTTTTAAATTTTAATAATTAACACACTAATAACTCGCTTTAAAATAAATATATAAAAACCAAAGTGGCTAGTAACAACAGATAACATTTTTACCTTTGAATAATTAGATACTTAGTCAATTTACGGTAATATTAAATCTAATAACACAAAATAGTTTCTGCTGAATTTATAATAAACAAAAGATTAAGTTTGGAGAGACGGAGACAACAAAAGCAGACATCAAAACCTCTTAATCATAATACTTACACGGCAATGGGAAATATATGTAAATGGTATAGACTTTTTCTCAGCTATATTAAGATTAGCCTCTTGAACTAATGATTCTGCAGTTGTGGACAAACCTTTTGCCACTAAATGTTGATGCATTAAAAGGAGCAATTGTTGTTCATTGAAATGAATTTTAGTTTGTGCAACAACATTTGCCTACAAATATAAAATAATGTATACAGATATTAATTAAAATTTATGATTAAATAATTTTAGTCATTTAGTGGCACCAAACTAGAATGATCATATGTTCTGTTTAAACAAGATTGTCGTTTTAAGAGAATCATGTTCCCTTACCCAACAAATTTTGGATAGGGTATGCTTTTTCCATATTGTAATACTTATAGGTATGTGTATTGTGTATACAAAGCTGATTACATGATAATCTTATGTTGGATAAATAGTTTAAAAATTTAGAACAAAGATAACAAAGAAAGTATTAGTTATTGTGTATTGTTTTGTAGGAAAACCTTTTTATAAATTATATAATTACAATTAAGCTATGTACACATAAAAGATACGATACAGAACAGTGTTAACACAGAATTGTTTAACTTACAGAAGGGGGGGGGTCTAAAATGGCAACGAATTGATTCATTGAACATACAATTGGTGGAAGATGTAGGAATGTGTGAACGGGTTTGGCAAAGAGAAACTTTAAAATTAATTAGTGATAAAATAGTTGGTTAGTCAATCGCGCCAGACAGCAGATCTTTAGTAAATTTCAGAATTAAAACTAAATTATGTGTTAAGTTATTTATTTTTTAATATATAAGTAACTAGTTATATGGTCTTTTATTTCCAGTAGAATAAGTTTGTGTCATTATTATACTTAAAACAAACTAGTCAAATCATCTTTGATACAAGTTTTAGTATAGAAATTTGCACACTCAAGGCAGAGACAAAAAAAAACACACTGTAATGTCATTGACGTGGTTCATTATTCAAGTGTGGGATAATTTTTAACAGGTTTAGTCTAGAAAATGTCTATTTCCTTTTTAATACTATTTTTGTAATACATTCCATGGATATACTTTAAACAAATATTTTAAAAATAGTTTGAGTAAGAAATCATACAACTTAAAAACATACTCGATTTATATTTGCCAATGATGCTTCTATTTCAGCTCCATTACTTTTTTTTTTCCCTGAAACTAATTCTATTAACTCTAGAGCATATTTTTGAAATGTTACATGTTCTTGACGTTTTTCTTGCAACACAGGATTTTTCATCAAACCTATAACATATAATAAGAAACATATGTATTCTTCAACCAAATAATCCATACAAAATTATGTATATACTCTGGCCATTAAGAGAGCACTTATGGGAGGCAACCAAAAGTTATCAGTTATTGAGCATTTACAGCAGCAATTAGGTGGTTAAGTGGGAGAAATTTGGGTACGAAAACCGTGGAGCTCAATCATTTGGATGCAAGAAGAAGTAACGCTCTCTCAGTGGCGATAGTATAAAATATATTGCATTTTCTAATTGATAACACACTTTTAAAGATGCATTCACATCAAAATTCTAAAAATAATTATTTACATACTTTGTAATTGGCCACTAGTAAATAAAGGTAATTTGCTAATAATTTGTCGAACTGATTCACTGCGAGCCAATCCAGCTAAAGCACGACTTGCTAATCCTCGTATAGCGTCAACATCCGTAATTGGTGTTTTAATAGTCATTAAAGTAAGTAAAACCTATGATTAAAAAATGATAAGTTTTCTCTAAGTTATACATGCGAAACCATTTGGATAATTCGAGTCATATACTCGCATAATATTCAAACTACTCAACATATCACAAATACTAAAACTAAACTTACCATGATTCCATTATTATTTCTGATACAATCCCAAATTTTTTCTATCACAGCATCATCATAAGTCTTAGGTGTTCGTTTTTTAGCTGATCCATATGATGAATAGTATGCTATACTTCCACTTTCCTAAAGTATAATATTATTATTTGAATATATTACCAAATCAAATTGAAATTTAGAGTTCAATACAAATATATACCCTATGTATTGGTGCACAAACACAAGTTATAATGACAGAGAGTGCGGCTTTTTGAATATCAGCGTCCAAAAGATCACCTTCTGCTGCTTTTATAATAATATTTAATCCAACATTGTCGTTTTCAGCTTGTGGGTCTTCTTCGTTTGTAGAGGTGTCATTTTGATTATCTACAGGAATTTTAGGCGATGGTACTTCACATAATGCCAATTGAACTTTTGGTAGTACAGCACATATGTTTAATACTTCTAGAGCATTTTTAATCATTTCACATCTGTAATGAAATTTAATGATTTAATATGCATAATTAAAGAAATCAATTATTATATCTACTCGTGCCTTCCGGAAAAATTCCATTCATGGGCCAAACTGATGATTTGCAATAATAAACCTAAGCCACCCAATTTAAGCAATTGATCAATCGGTGTCCAATGGCTCTTCAGGGACACAGCATTTGATAATAGCTCTATTTCTTCTTGGACTTCAGCTCGAGATTTTTTTGTAGACTAAAACAACATGTAACATATAATATATATATTGTTTGCTTAGTTAAATTATTAAAATGTCTTACTTTATAACCAGGTACTGTGAAAAAATTATGAACCATTGTTGATGAAATTAACAGACCAGAATCTCTCATTTTTGCTCTACGTATTTGCTGAGCTTTTATATGTAAATGTGCTTCAAAATAATGTTTCAAACCAGCACAGACATGACGAATAATTTGTCTTGCAGAACATTCAGCATCTTCAGTTAATGAACTATATGCTGGATCTTCAGATGAAAGAATAGGCAATGTACTAACCTATAAAAATAATTGTAAGGTGTATATTTCATTTACTAAATTTAACCTGGAATTAGTAAGTCATACCACATTAACCAGCTTACGTAGTCCATCATGGTTATCAAATATTTCTTGAATAACTCTAAAATGAAAACTATAACTGAAGAACATAGTTGCGTGACATCTACTAGAATCATGAGAACATTCCAACATCCAAAGTGCATACCTTGTGAGCGATGATTAAAGACAAGTTAAATATAATATATTATTTAACAGAAAATAGTTTGACATACTTTACAAGATCAACAAGGACATGTTCGGGTAAAAGACAAATCCTTTCCATTGCTTCCTCGCAATATGACAAATAATAAAAGCAAATTGAAACACCGGTGGATGGAATACTAGGTTTGGGAATTAGAAGTAATTTCTAAACATAAAACAAATTAATAGATTTTTTAAATGACGTACATTCAACATTTTGAATATATGAAAAAGCGTAATTATTTCTTTCACATAAATCTCAAGCAGTGGTTTCAAACATACAACCCTCAAACCCTTTCAAATGTGGCTCGTTTGAAACAATTACCAATGAGAAAAATTGTGCTGTTCATATTAATTGCATTCGATGATTTGCAACTACTGGTTTTTTAGTGTAGGTACGGTATATTGTATGGAGTATGTATAACTTGTTCGTCAATATATGTGCTAAATGTAAAATCAGTCAAGGACATATTTTTTTTTTAACCATGGTGAGATTTACTATAAATTTGTAGGAAATTAAGTAATAAAAAATATTAAGAACTAAGATGTTTTACATTTGACATACATCCCAAATTGTGTGTGCAAATATAGGCAGCCTAGTACAAAAGAAGAGATGTCAAGTCTCAAGTGTAGCAATTTAAAAATAAAAATAAAACACCTATGTACATTTTTTTATATAATACCTAGTAATAAATAACTACAGTAATATTTAATAACAATACATTTAATTTTTGTTTATTCGGTTTTATTTTAATTATAATTTATTAATATGAGTAAAACAAAAAAGTACAAAAATACTTTGGTATATAAATATATGACTAACTAATAATTTTAGTTAAGAGACCACTACTGATCTAAAGCATACATTGTCACCACATTTAGTTGTAAACCATACATAAATTAGCAAATATGTATCTACTATTTAGTATTTACCAGCAAGTATACTAGTATTTGAGGTCCCAGACCAAATATAATTTTCGGCAGGTATCAAAAACTAACTTTAATACAGTTGGGTTGACAATCTTAACACATCAGTAGTACTTGGTAAGTTAAATCATAATAATATATTAAGTGCATAACCATAACCGGCACTAACAATAATGTATGACATATTATAGTAGGCTGTTTTAATTTTTCAAGCAGAAAAGTTTGTTTTGGAACCATCGCAAATCCAAACACAATTTAGTTTAACACTAATTAATTTACATAATATATAATAAACATACTTGTAATCCTTGTGAACCAATAAATTCGGTAGCAAATTTTTTATGGCATAATAGTGCAGCCAAGTATTTTAATGCTTCAAATGTTAAATAACCATTTTGTTTTTCTGAAGAATTGATTATTTTCATAACTAAGTTGAGTGCATTTTTCTCATAAGCATGGCTTAAAAACTAGAAACAAATTATTTTCATTATCATACATAATATACATTATAACATAAAATACATACTTCTTGATATTCCCCAGTTGGTACTAAATATTTGAGACAGTAAACTAATTTAGTTGTCAAAGTGGGTGGATAGATTTGTATCCAGTTGCTTGCATTAGACTCAGTAGAAGATGAATTACTATCACTACAAATACCATTTTCTTCTCTTTCTGAAACATATTTTGGGATAGAATAATTAAAATAAAATAGTATAAAAGTGAATTACAGTGTTTGGAAGAGTGGAGAATTCATAGAAATAATTTGTTTTATGTGTCGAACATATTCATTTTAATATAAAAAAGAATTAGTTATGGAACAGAATCACTTTAACCTGCAGAAAATAAATAACTTTTTTTGATTCTTCAGAAGTACATCAATAAATATAATTATCTCATAAGAGCAGACTGAAGCTAAATAAAATAGTAGTAAAAGAACTCTGATGTTTGTGACCCACTAAACAGTCATAAAGAAAATATTTTTGTACATCATAATGGTCAATTTTAAAGTAATATAATGTAATAAAGCATATTTGAAAAATATTTTGATGAGACTTTTAAATAATGCGAATATATTTAAAATACCCAATACACAATTAATAATTTTTGATATTTAAAATTCATTATATATTGTAAATTAACATATATTTTATAAATAATCTATATTAAGAATGAAAAATTACTTTTTTTTTTTGGAGATGGAGCACCTACATCTTCACTGAGCTGATCACTACTGACATTTTTACATGGCTGTGTGCATTGATTGATTTCATTTTCTTCACAAAACTGAGTATAATATGAATGTAGACGATCCAATATAATTGGCACGAGCTTATTATTATCTTCTCTAAATAATTTTAAATTATATTTTAGTAATATATTAATGTATGTGTCTATATATTACAATAAATATTGAAAATATATATATACACACTTGAAATTAGCAGCAATATCTGTCAACTCCATACAAGATGCCAATAATCCTGTTGCATAAGTTTGCAATGGTTCATTATTATTTTCTGCCCAAGTGAAAAGCCTTTGAATAAGTTGATCATTTGCAGGCTAAACAACATAATTTCTTTTATGTTTCCAAACACTAAGTTTATAAATAAAAGAATTACTTACACTTTCAAAAACAACAGTAGTTTCTAAACCGGGTATGAGGTTCATTATAAGCCTGCATGCAGCAACATTTAAATCGTGGTTATCCTTAGTCCGTCTTGGCCAATGATGTTCTTTTAAATAATCCATTACTAACTAAAAATATTTGAATAGTACAAATATGAATAATATAAATATTATTATATTAAGTTAATAAAATCAAAATTTGGAATAATTTCAATATCTACCTTATTCATTAGAGAATCTTTGCGAAACAGAATCTTATACATCTGACCCAATACACAGGTAGGATCTATTCGAGATGGATGACGATCATCAAAAGGATCTGGATCTTTTTTAAGATAATTTTTTGATTCTGCTTCAAATAATTCACATAATCTAGAAAAATTTAAGTCATATTATTGACATTAATACATTTAATGTCAGAAAATAGTTTAGGTATAGGAGAGTAATTTTGATTAATAAATAAGAAAATTATACTCCTACTTCATTATGGGTACCATAAATTTGCTTGAAATTGTATTACATAAATTTCAAAATTAAAAAAAGGCCTGAACAAGAAGCCATACATCAAGCAATTAACTTATAAATGTTGAAAAGATATTCCATCATTATAATATTATGACGATTTCAATTACTTGATCAACGTCGGTATAGGGTTGTAGTTAGGGGTCGGCATTTCTTCTTCCCATCTCCGGAGCAAGTTGGTCAGCTCGCTGACGGACTGCTCCATAGCTCTAATCTACGGTAACTAAAACACCGAGCGACCACTGTGGCGGGACGACGTTCAACCCTGTTGAAAATATTAACAATAATAAATAACGATGTACAGCGGCGTCCGTTCAGTGATGAAAATAAAATAGAAAAACCGACTTCGGGTTCTATTTTATCTACGGAAAACTAAACTAGGAACCTTAATAATGACTACTCGTGGCTCGGGATGCAGCCGACGGTAACATAAGAAACGCACACGGTTCTTCTTTAGTCGGTTCCGCCGACACCGCAAGCACAACAACAAGCAATAAACTAAGACTAACAACCAGAAACGACTAGCAACACCAGTCACCAACTACAACGCACGATTCTTGTCTGGACGGACCGTAATGTTTTTCGAGGTTATGTCACCGCGAGGTAGACACCGGGAGCGCTGTCCAACGCTATCAGCTCAGAACAACAACATCAGCTGCAGCCGCTCACGTTTTGTTTTGTGTAGTTTCCATTGCGAAGACATACAGAACAGTTGTATATAAGACGTATATTAAAGGTATAATTGTACTTTGTACTGATTACAATTCGTCCATTCAGCCATTCTATTATTGTTGTCTTGTTTGCACGCGCTAGTGGCAATTACTGCGCAACTCGTACACCGTAGTTCGTACCCCAAACTGCCGAAGTTTGCGCGGCTCTCTCTCTCTCTTGTCGACCATAATAATAACAATACGGACGGCGGTGGCTCTCGTATTTTGCTGATAAACAGATAAAACAACAACAGACGACGATAATAACATGGAATAATATTGTACCTATTTTAGTTTAAGAGGATTGGCTGTTCAGTCTCACTGCTCTCACACGTCTTTTACCCGCCCAATCTTTCCGGCTCTTCACTTCTTCAGTCTTCACCCGTAGTACCACTCTACCACATTACGCCAACCGTTTGTGCGTGTTTACAATATTATTGTTTTTTGTTCAAAAAATATTTTACATTTTTCTTTCCCTAGAGCAAAAACAAAGCGGCGTCTACGGTTTTCGCGCTTTTTTTCCATCCCTTCGTTTTGCAATCGGCTGCTAGTTAGTCGTTCTCGAACAACCGTCGACAGTCCACCTGCGGATACCGCCATCACCTTCACCACCACGCTCGCAGCACAGGTAATCATGTTGAATATTTTGACAATGACAGTCCTCGGGACTCAATTTTCCTCATTAGCACGTCCATTTACTACGACCATTCATCTATTGAGATCGAATTGGACAAGAAAAAAAAAATTGTTGATAACCATTTGTCGTGTCCTTTCGTATAGTTGTGTATATTTTTTTTCGCTTACTTCTCCGCCGATCCGAGGTCAAGTACAACGCCATTTATATTATCTCCATATAATTATTACTATTCCCTTTACCGAATCGTTCAATGCTATATTATCCGCCATTTCATTTTGTGTGGCTGGCACTCCCGTTGTTCATTTTTCGATTGCACTGATTTGGGGTGGGTACGTTTGGATAATAAAACATAGGTAATCTTTCATCTTCAAACTTTGTTTTTAAATTAATTAATTGTTTCTTAAACATGTCCACAGTATTTTTAATCTACTATTGTTTATAATCAGTTGTTTTAGCTATGGCCGATCAAAACCCAAATGAGATTCAAAATCCAGAATTTTGTAAGCCCAAGGTAAGAATTGTTTGTTTGATTGAATGATTCAACAATATTTTTCTTTTATTTACAAGTTATTTTTTATACAATTGTTTTAGGACCCCAAAGATGTTGAAAAAGCCCAAGAAGAGTGCATGAAGAAACAGTATCAAATGAAGTCAAATTGGCCTCCAGTCAGTGGTCATTCTGCCCTCCTCCAAAAACGTTTAGCCAAAGGGGTATGACATACTTCATTAATCATAATAGGTTTAAATATTTAATATTTTAGTTAATTATTTGTTTTAATTGATTTTTGAAAATTAAAATAATTAGATATCATTTTCAATTTTGTACATGTGTAAGATAGCCAGTAGTATCGAACCAAGTCCAATGATGTCATTTAGCTTTTCTAAATATCTACGTAAATGAATAATACCTATTTTTCTTTCTATTGATATTTGACCAATTTGTTTTTAATAGTTTTACCTACAATAATTTTATATTAAATAATAATTTGAGAAAACATTTTTTTGTGTTGTGTTCTTGGGTTTTATGAGGTATTTTATTAGTTTCAACATAAGTGTATTTCTGTAAAATATGATTTATGCTGTATTTTAATTGTATTTGAACATTTAAAATAATTATTATATATCTATTGATAGTATACTAATATACAAAGCATATATATTATTTGAGTTATCAATTTTTATCTTTATAATACATTTAAATTATGTTAATTTGGTTTTCAGCAAAAATTTTTTGATTCCGGTGATTATCAAATGGCCAAACAGGCCGGCAATGGAAATAAATTGATTAATAATCGTCCTGTGCAACAAGTATTGGGTTTTGGTACTGGAGATACCATACCGACACCAGAAACAGTTCCAGCACGCAAGACCTCTATTATTCAGCCAAAATTCAATTCAAGTTCCACTCCATCATCCACTACGTGATTTGTATGTCTAATGGGTTATAAATTAATTTAATTTTTTTTTTATTATTATTCAGTAATTTAGTCCAATCAAATGTAAATGTTATTCATTTTAATTTTGTTAATGTTATGACTTATGGCTTATGGAGTAAACAAAAAATGGCCATTTGATTAAACTATTTTTTTTTTCTTAATAATTTTATCATTAATAAGTAATTGAATTTTACAGAGAATTTTATGTGTATTATTACATAATATTTTAATTCTATTTTAACGCTCATAATAAAGCATTTTTTTTTCAACAAAGTAATCGTTTTTTTATATTTTTTTTTTTAATTATTGGTTCATAAAATGTTTTTGGATGTGAGCACATTTGCTCGTGAGTGTTGCTTCAATCTATAACCAAATTCCATCAAAGTAAGCCAGTAAAACTGCAGTATACAAGTAATCTAGTATTATATCTAGTACTCTATCTGGAATAAGACTAAATATATAATAAAGCCCTCGCGCACCTGTGTTGGTGGGAGAAGCATCTGACCACCGCCTGACAAAAACTGGTCATTATTGTCGACGTTTCTATTCTATTTCTGAATAGAGTATAGACATGTCTAAGTGGAAATTTATGACGTATTAAGTTTCATAACTAAATCTTATTTGTGTTTTTTCAAAGTAAGGATAATATTATATACACAATTTAAAATTTGTGATTTGGTAATTTAATAAAATGTTTTTAAGTACCTATTTGTCTAAATTATTTGATGACTACAGCAAATAACTGATTACTGATTACCAACTTGTTATTTATTTTTAGTTCTGACTATTGAATGAAACCAAAAAAAATTATATCTGATTTTTTGGCAAATTCACTAAAACTAACTGCATACTATTAGATATACAAGGTAAAATTATTTTAATTGTGGTAAATAATTAATTTAATTTAAGTTTTGGCAAATAAATTCTACGTAATATATTTTAATAACTTTATTTTTTGATTCAATGTGTTGGGTACTTTTAAGGGCAATAATAAATTTAACTTTTAAAAATAATTTTGCTTTTGTTATGTTACTAACATGTAATATGGTAAACTAAAGCAAAAAATTGTTTGACATAACCATGTCTAATTATAGTGGTTCTGGTGTAAGAATAAATAGGAAATATGAAATGTATGTAAATAATGAGTATTGTCTCAATATTTGTGAACTCAACTCGACATTGTTATTTTCAATAAGAACAACTAAAAACTGATTGGTACTTAATTACCATGTGGCATTACTGATGGCCACAACATTTATTATCTATTATTTATTAATAAATGCAATCATTACAACTTACTTTTTGATGTTACTTTCAATAATTCAACTTTACTGCAGTACTACTAACACAAACAGTGCCGGGTTTACCGCCGGTGCATTGCAGCAGGGCCCCACCTTTTTGAATATATAAGCTGTCATAATTTATGTCAAAGTACTACAAAATAGTATTGGGACTTAAATTGGTAAAATGTATGTATTGTTTTTCCAAATGGTGTATTGGATTTTGGTTTTACTATATTTAATTTATTCACTTTGATGGTAAATTATAATATTGTGAATGTTTGATCGATTGTTTGGTATTTGTTTTTCATACACATCGTGTATGCTGATATACCAATTGACCGATATACATTAATGTATATGTGATATGACTGATATGTCGTGTTGCAGTGGGCGCAACGTCAATAAGAAAATAAACATTTTTTAAATTAGGGCTCCTCAAAGTTCAGAACCCAGCACTAAACACAAACATGATATTATTCATGTTTTAGTTTTTGATTCTGAATAGGTGTTAGGTAATCATGCAATGATTATTGGTCATCTTTCGATAAACAATTGGAACTTGTGCTGAAGAAAATTTGCAAAACATGCATTTTTAAAATCAATTTTGTTTTTGAGTTCATCCAAAAACAAATAACTAGATTAAAATCTTTTCAAAATATATATTCCTAATCAAACATGTATGTAATTAGCATTTTCTAACCATGATAAAAATATCAAAATATTTGGATCTTAGTTAAATGTTTTGATTTACGTATGATAAAATGTCCGTTAATGAGTAAAGAATCTTGATCATTTAATTTAGGTTTTCTCATATGTTTTTTACTAGAAATTCAAAAAAAGTTCATCATGCAGCCACAAAACTTTTTCATGTATAAAAGTTGACGATAATAAAAAAACGATCTCAAGTGAAGTGTTGGTCATTTAGTTGTAATTCACAAACTTGAAACAATTCACTATTAAATTATCATTTTTTACAGTTAAATGTTGAGCAATGTTTAGCTATTTAGTACGTATACTGATTATTATCTGTGGTATATACTTAGTGTTGGTTCAAGATTCCATGTAAAAATAAATATAACAGATTGTATTCTATATTCCTTTTGATGTTTTCTAAAAATAAGTTCAAACCCTTAAAAATGGTATAAATTGTATGTTTATAACACCAACTCATATTCAAATTTATCCAAAATAATGTAATGCTAATAATTGACTACTTGTTTAAATATTTTAAGTTGATAGATTGTTCAGCATGTGTAGCACACAGTGATTGTGTTATAAAAAATACTTTCTACTTCTTGGTCATTTAAAAATTAAGATTTATAACAAATAACACTGTTTTTTTACAAAGTAAGTAAAATAAATTGGCTAATGATAATTTGTATTTTAATTAATAATTATTAAAAAAATGGTACATATTATCCTTCACAAAAAAAAATCATTCACTTAGGTACATATTCATCAAAAGTACTGTAATTATTTTAACAGATATTAAGAACACTATATTGCTTTACATTTTGTTTATTGGATTATTCTTCCACATCCTTTGGGAATTTTGTGTTGTAGTATGGCAAGTATTGCAATACCAATTTCCAGTCAGTAAAGTAACACAAGAGGGTGAATCCTGTAGCGCCATACAAGCCTGCGCTAGGAACACTGCAAAATTTAACCGAACAATTAATTACTGAGCCGTATAAGTATACGTCAAAATGACATAATTCAGATCTAATTTGACCTTAGAATATGATCACCTTATTTAATCCATAATCTACACTCGAACATTTTACTTACTACTTGACTGCCTGGGAGATGTACCGTCTACCAATTAAATTTGACACAAGACTCATGTTGAACGGAGGAAATGACGAATCTGCAAAGATTTAAATCAATGGACAGATCCCTATTTTAATTTTTAATGTTCGACGGGTTAGGTCACACTCGGACAATGTTGAGTTTTGCAAAAGACTTAAAAATGATATTGGCTTCATCATATGTTATATCATATCAGAAATTTCGACTGATAACATTTTATTATTAGTATTTAACGTCTTTGGATCACGGGTATTTATTTTTGTCTAAATTTGGCGGCAATACGAACAAACATCAAACGTCTGACGTACTGACATGCCTTATTCTTGAGGTGTTAAATATATTACTAAACTATATATGTACTTGATGAAGCATCCCCAAGCTCTATTTCTCTAGCTCCTGTTATACAACACCAGATATAATGTAAAAGAGTGTTTTTTATGTATGGGGATCGAAGCCTTTACATATACATACATAATAAATAACAATATATATTATATTTTATTATACTTTAATACTGAATATGTTAACTACGGACTAAGATATATCTTAGTCCGTGATGTTAACTATGGTTCAGCCCATTTATTAGGTCTTGGGAAGTACATAAATGGGCTCTTTGTAGACTGGATATTTTTTCCTTGTAAGGGCATGTTTTTTTTTTTTTAATGTTTCAGCACATTAGGTGCTATTACAAGTACGATACATTACATTACGATTACGATTACAATTTAATATTTACATTTATGTTAGTGATTACAATGCTATGATAATTCATAGTTAGATTTGACATTATTTGTTTGTTTATTCTCCATCTTCCAATGAGAGCTCTTCAGTGTCTGGTAACTGGTAAGAGAATGTCTTGGGGCAGTCGCCTATTTTGGGTTTTCTTTCCTAGTTGGTAATGGCGGGCTCCGTCCGAGTCTTTCAGCTTGGTGTGAAAGTTTTTAAGTTGGGTTTCAATCCAGATATTTATTAGGGATATTCCAGTATCATTGTTTTGCGATTCCTCATATACCAAGGTGCTTTAAGGAAAATTCTAAGGAATTTGTTTTGGAGGGTTTGGATTTTTTTAATTGTAGTAGGCAAGGAAGGGCATGTTTAAATAACGTTAGAAGCAGAAAACTACATTTAAAAAAGTACTTTTTGGGAGGAGTGCCTGTAGCGTAAGTGCATAACAATAAAATAGTGGCGTCCCGATCACTGAGGATAAAACAAATTCAAATTTGTGAATGTGATTTAATGTTGTGTTATAATCGTTAAATACTACTATGTAAAAAAAAAATCATCTGACATTTTTTTTTGGATCTTTTAAAAATTACAAATATTGAACCTAAGCTATTTAATTTTAATTTAGGCTAGATAAGTTTAAAACCCGTTTTGGTATTTGACTATTGAGTATGACGGATAACAGCAGTTGTTTGATGTTGACTCGGACGAACTTGTATGAGATAAAATTTCAAAACTATATTCAGAAACTGGCATTAACTCTTTACCAAGTATAAACAGTGTTATAAATATATCCTTATACTGTTAAATATTTTGTACAATTATGTAAAATAAACAAATTCTGCTAGTAACATTTGTTTAATTTAATTTTTTTGTTGATATCCAGTAATCCAGTAACCATTCTAAACAAAGTTAAACCTAACCCAGGAACTAAAATTGTGTTGTCAAGTATGTAATGGCTGTAGAAACTGATTTTTTAAATTTAATTTTAACTTTTATGAAATAGTATCAAATAAAAGTAGCTAAAATGTTGTTTATTATATTTCCCCAACACCTATATAAATGTATCACAGAATAAATAAACGCTGTGCCTATATTAACTATCAAATATTGTGCATACATGCCATTAGATAGCAGTCAACACTCAACAGCAGGAGTTAAGGTACAGCATAATAGTAAATATGTAATATGAAATATTTAAAATGTACAAATGAAAATACAGTAGAGCCTTAATAGTCCGGATGAATAAAATCACTTACTCTGGGTCCAAATATTGTTTTCATTTATCAAAATGCAACTTGTTTCAAAATTGTTTAATTGATGCTTAGTCACATGAAAGTTGTCAAATGTTTAAGGCCCCTAATACCAAAACAATTTTTAAAATTATCTAGCCAACCTCTACTAGCACTAAAACGATCTTCCTGCTTTGATATTTCAAGGTGAAATAAACGAGTTTTTTCAGAAATTGTTTTAAAACTTATTGGAATGTAGTGTCTTCGCTGTTGGATGGACCATATAAATTAAGTATTTTTTGTGACTATTCTAAAGTTTTCAGCAACCACACCATACTTCTAGCCATTTTCTATTAACTTAATTATTTCAACCTTTTGATCTAAAGTTAAAGTCACGTATTCACGAGGGATCATTGTAACAAACAATAATAATAACCACTCTACAAGAAAGAAGTGAAGAAACTGACAACTATTGTTAGTCTGTTGTAGAGACAATAGGTAATAAAAAATGATGACATTTTTATTGTCGATAAAAATATATAATAGATTAATTGTGTTCTGGGAATTCCGAAGAAACTACTTCCGTACAAATGGATTTGTGTGCCATGAGGATTACAACGTTCAATGGATTATTGGGGGTCAGGACTATTGAGACTCTACTGTATCTAAAACGATTATTTATCTAAAATCTAAAAATTCCAATGATAATTTATGACCTATGAATTATAATTTTAGATATTAGTAGGATAAAATATGTATAAAAATGAATTGTGGAATATTTTTTTTATTGCTTGTTACTATAATTGAACTTGACTTTAATTTCCATACAACAAATAAAAAGATAAAATTACGATTTTATAAACAGAATATTTACATGTTACACTACATGAAAAAATATTAAGTATTATTACAACTTCGAAAGTTGAACAATGGCATTGCCAAGTCCATCACCAACAAAAGTAACTTGCAAAAATCCAGCCAAGGTGACAATCGCAAGAAGAGCAACAGCTACATGTCCAGCTTTGTTAGCCAGCTGTCCTACAACTGGTACACGTAAATAGTCAACTACCAATGCTTCAAGTCCCCTTAAAAATAAAATAAAAATATTTGTATAAATAATAATAATATTTTTTTTTTCAAAAAATAAACACAACATATTATTGCTAACATTTATATTTTATAATATTCAACTATTCAAGCACTATTATATTTCGGCAACGATCATAACAATATGAAGTATTTCCTCCAATAAAGTTATGTTGTAAATATCTAGACTTCAGATATTTAAAAAAATTAATACTTATGCTGGTTGACATTAAATTATCAGTAGAAATTTCATAATGATAAGTGATTTCACTAAACGCACATGTGTTGTGCTGTTGTCTAGGTTCTACAAATATACACCAGCAATTATGATGTTAGTTTTTATATTAGAGTGAATAAGGTAAGAACATGATCAGGTTTTGTATGTTGGTGTAATACAATATTTTAATTTTTAATAGATCAATGAACATTTTTAAATTGTACTGTTGATCATCTTGACTAAAAATTAATACATTGTAAACACCAATGTATAGCACAGATAATGTTCTTACCTTTAACATTTAAATTTGATAGTTTGTCAATTCACTTTAATATTCAAAATGCCAGATGGCATTAATTAATATAAATAAAACTATACAATTAATTTTATTACAATTATGGCATTACCAGTAAACGTGGAGACTAATACTTGCTGCTAATAAAGTGTCGACTATTTGAGATGAATATAATACTGAGGCAGGAAACAATCCCATTAGTGCTATAGAAACAATACGTTCGGTTCTCCAAATACTAGCATAATTTTTACCGGTCTTGACAGCTGCAGCACTTCCAGTGAAACGTGCTATCATTGGAGCAGTCAATAAAGGCTTCTAAAATGTAACAAAACATCTAACATGTTATTGGATCCAAATTGTATTGCTCACACTTCAAACTTACAGTTAGTGTTTTGTTGCCCAAATGACTGGTGACATTAAATCGATTCACACACTTTGACAGTGCATTAAACGATATTGGTCTTTGGGCAGCAAACATCGAACCTACACAAAAATATACCATAAGTGTACAGATAAAATTGGAAAATTGATTATGGTAGATCATAGTTTTGACATGATGTGAATACTTACATTTGGTTTGACGAAAAAGTTTTAGGCTCAACATTGTACTTTGGAAATAAGTCGAAACAATAATCGTATTTAGTAAATGCTCAGTTCGTTAATTTAGACGATAGTTATTTAAATTATTGCACACTATTACATTCACAAATATTTCAGTATTGTAATAATTATGGCATAATATCATTTGTCCTCAGCTTGGCAACATATGACAAGAGTTGACCCTGATCCACTGATAACAATTATACATAGTTACTAATTACTATCAGTTTCATATGGTTTCATAGCAGTCTAATGTTGACCAAATCGATGACTGATTACTGATAAGCGATTGTTCTTATTCTTAATTTCTTATATTCTTACCACGTGATTCTTACTACAAAAACAGAATGGGTGGGTGAAATTTCACCTATTCTGTGTTCTTACTTTAGGCATGATAAATTACTAATTACCACGAACTAAGATATCTTAACTAATCCTAGTTCGTGCTAATTACTGCTTTTTAGTTTTTAGTCATTAGTGTTTACCTTTTACAGCTGGTGCTGTATCTATATATAATTGCTATTAATCCGTGGTCATAAGTCATTACCAAGTAATTAAGACAATTAGGTATACTAATAATTAATAAACAATAATTGATATAATTATAATTTTTTTTTCTGTTGGATAGATCCGTCATCCTTTTTCTGGTATTCCGTGATCTGTGATTCAAACTTTGCATAAGAATTAAGAGGAGAATAGAGGGACTGAAAAGCCCTCGCTCTATTATTTCATAACAGATTTATAAAATATATGAATAAAAATATAAAATAATACCTTACATTAAAAAATAAAAACAATAAAAACCTGGGGAAAGTTGTTACTGTTATGGATGTGCTGAATTTAAATTCAACTTTAAATCATTCATCATTGCATAAGAACGATCCTCAGTGTAGTTAGCCTATATTTCTAAGGAAATTTTTATTTTTATTACCTATATTAATACCTTTTTTTAACTTAATGCAAATTGTGTAAATACCTATTAACTTAACTCAACTGGGTTAAAAAAATGATTACCTTGGCCAGCCTAGGCAGCCTTGAAAAATTCACTGTACATTTTAGTTTTCAGAATAATTAGGAAAACAAAAAAAAGAGAAATGGGAAAAAACGGGAATTTTTAGTTACCAGTTATTACCAGTTTTTGACTGGTTTATAATGTATTAGTATGGTGTGTCCCAAAAGTGATGTACCACCCTTAATATCCCCGTGGAAAATCATTACATTTAAAATTTAAATGCAGTATTTTTTTACAGTGATACTATCTAATAAATATATAAACATTTTAATTTAATAGCACAGAATTCACAGCTTAAAAAAGAAATATTAAAATTAAGTGAAAATCGACCCAGTTAAAGCAAATTAATTTGTCGAGTTCGAAAATGCGTTATGTTAGCAAAACACGAATTGCATGATTTAATCAATCTCTTGATTTTTTTTATGACATTTTGTAAACACCGTAACTTCTTTGTTTTCCAGACACCATAGGCGCAATTTTAGTTTTTAACTTGGACTTTGGAGTTTGGAGGGGCTTTACGTAAAACCAAAACCAATATTTAAAAAGCAGGTAAGTGGATGTCGATCTGCTATACAATTAAGTATCTAGAAGGTCGTTGTAATTCATGGTATTAAATTTGAATTCAATGATATAATATTACTGTATACGAAAAACGATTTTCAGGGAAGACTGTATGTCCTGTCATTTTTCAAAACTATTGGGAATTATAAATTTGGACTTCACGAATACACCAACTAGATTCACATTCTTACCAGAAAATTTACTATTATTAAGCTTATATTTATGTTCTGTCGTTCTGTGGATGATTCGATATGACAACATGGATAACACACGAATAATGAATCATTGTTTAAACGTTATTTCTTTAAACAACGTTTGCTGAATTATTTAGATTAGTTAATTAATGCAGAATTCAAAACTTTAATTAAATATAATTTTTTAGAAAGGCTAATTTTAATATTGGAGGGGCTAAGCCCTTCCAACCCCCAAATTTCGCCTATGCCTAACCCCTTTTTTTGTTTAATATATGTAGTTTGTTTAGCAAAGTCAGTATTTGGAAGTCAGACTTACTTTTAAAGTTATAGCCACGGACTGAGATATTTAGATTTATTTTAGTCCAGGTAACAGCTAATTGAAAATGATAGTAATTTGCACACCCACGCGGTGTGAGGTCACTTGCTGGCTTGGACAATTAACAACATCTCTCAAAAATCTTGATTTGTTATGTAAAACCACCTTGGGTGGGTCCCTGACTTCAAATAGCTATAACTTCAAAACTAAGCCCGACCGCCCAATTCCGACTTAACCGACATTTTCAGCATGCTAAACTACAGACGTTTAAAAAAAAAAGTTGTCCGGTAAAAGAGAAATATATGTTTCCAAAAATCGAGACATATATTCGTTGAAGCGTAAAAATGTTGATATAACATTGTGTGATGGTTTTTGACAATCTGGCAGACCTTAGGAAAGGGCATTGAGACTCAAAGCTCAGGCCTCACGTATTTATATACAATTTTGGGTCTCCCGTTAATAATTTAAAAATTATACTTTAGGCCACACCAAAAAAATTACCCCCGGCCTCGTAGCACCTTAAAGCTGGTTATCTGTAGGATACTCAACTCAATAGCTTTTCATCTTCTCTGAAACTTTCATTACTTCGGGGTAGGGTAACGTTTTGCTTCTTCGATGTATACCTATTCATGTACTAACGAGAAAGTAAAAAATGTGTTGAATGTAAAAAAAAATAGGTATACAATTTTGATTGCTGTAAATCCGTGAGACTGTGAGAGATTAATTTATGCGAGTCGTGTTTTGTGTTTTGTTATATAGGTAGGTACATAATATATTATTCTTGCGAAGTTAATAACTTAATTAGCAACTTGGTCGATTTTCCCTTAATTTTAATATTTCGTTTTAAACTGTTTTAAAAAATATAATTAAAAAAATATAATCATCTTGAAAATTAAAAAAATTAATTGCATAAAATATTAAAATATACATTGAAAATTCTTGAATTAAAAAAAATATATATATTTATCTTTGGACTTAGGTAATGGATATCAATTAGAATTTGCATACTCATAAGTGTAAACAAAATTGCATTTAAATATATTTTTATAAAGATAATAATGGTGATACGGGACTATTTGGAAAAACTGTATAGCATGGCTAATGGGCCATGGCCATCTCTGACCCAACACCACCCTAAAATCCGCAAACCGCAACTGAATATTACATAGGGATAGAGTTAACTCTATGGAATACTCTGTAAACTGTTATTTTATTATGGTCACGATCACGATTATAGATAGTAATCTACATGGGCGGATAGGCCTACCGGGCAACCGGGCATTTCCCGGTGGGCCCCGCTTTGTATTTTGGGAATGGGGCCTTTTTTATGGTTAACGCAATGACACATTAATATTATATAATTACAAAAGAAATTTCAAATTTGAAATATTATATTATTTTATATTATAATCTTATATTTTTTAAGTTTTGAACTACAAATTATTAATTAACACTGTGGTTTTGTCAACATTTGAACTTTAAATGCTTATAAACAATAATCATTCCTATGTATCGTTAATATTTTAGATATAATAAAAACTTATATAGTATATACCTATTACATTTTTATCTTTTTAACCGAACAAATAATTTTTTATTGACATTTGTAGGAAAAAAACTCAAACTAATCAAATACAATTGAAGTGAAGACAGTTTAACCAAGGTTACCAAACAATTTTGACAAATTTTCTTTTTTTCCCCCAATTATTTTAAAAGTACTGGAGGATTTTTAATTTTGATCTACCAAAAGTACTTACTAGATCGAATTTGCTTTTGAAAATATATTCGAATAATAATTCAAATATTTGTCGTAAGGATTATTCGAATAACTTATTTGGAAAAACTAGGTATCGAATAATTATTCGTTAGTTTTTATTCGTTGCGGCCCATCACTAAATATATAAAATAGGTGCTTATTAATTATTATGATAATTATAATATAATCATGTATTCATGTAGAATATTAACTAAAAGAAACTATATTTTATAGGTATCTTAGTATAATTTTTACACTTAATAGCAATCAGCAGTATAAAATAAGTAGGGGTTGTCAAATAAATTTTCTAATATTTTTAAAACACAAATTGTGTTTTTTAATGTGTCTATTACATTTATAATTTTCAACATTATTGTTTTTAAAGTGTAAAAGCCTAACTTAAACACTAAACTTTTATAATTAGATGTACTTAATTGTCAATTGATAATAGAATATAGATGTTGTTATAATATATTTTATAGATTTTCTAGATGTTAATATTGCCATAACATACAAATCATACACGTTCAATGTTTTGTTTTGATATTGTAGGTAATATAATTCATCTAATACTGTACTTGCGAGCAACTTTTTTTTCATGTGGGGCCCCTTTTTAAAATTGCCTGGTAGGCCAAAAATGGCCTATCCGCCCATGGTAATCTATAATCGTGGTCCACGATAGATGCTTCTTTATAATATCGTGATATGGTTTTCAGTTCTTATCTACTAATACAATTATTTATTATCTATCATGCTACATTATCACAGATTTTACTATCAAAGAACAACAAATGTGACCAAATATAAACATGAAGTTTAATCTTATTTCTACTTTAGTTTATTCACTCTTATTGTTTTCATTGTTTAATTATTGAAATGCGTTTTAGTTAGTAATTAATGTACTGTTACCGATGTAAGCATTTCGCTGATGTCGGCCCATTCGCCAGATTCGATCGTCCACCGTCGGTCCAACACCAAACAGGTGCATCCGGTAGTTGGACTGAAAAGAGTATCATTCCACGAAGACGTTATTGAACCCAGTAATGGCAATCTCATTCAAATACGAATTGGGGAATGTGGTGAAAGAGGAGCACCTGAAGGACAAGAAGACCCTCAACCAATTGAAACATCGTCCAAAGGTTCTGTTTTAAAATCAAAAAAACTAAAGTTTCCTTCTCTTTACATGAATGGTTTAAACGTCGATCTCAAATCCCAACAAGTCGTTTTTAACCAAATAGAACTGGAAATGAAAGAAAAACAGTGGAGCCATGTTTGGAGTAAACATTTGGATATTGGATCCAACCAACTGATTAATATAATTAAAAGAGATTTACAATTAAAAACCAAAGAATCTATTTATAAAGTAAGTCCAAATAGTTTACTTCCATAAATTCAATTTAAATATTATTATTTTATTTCAGATTTATAGAATGCTAAGCACTGGCGGATCACCTTTATTTGTAGTTATTACAAATATTAGGTTTTGTGTCTTAACTAAAAATGTATATACCAAAAGGTTAGAAGTATTCTATAGTTCAAATTTTACAAGCCTAGACCTAATAGCCTTAGGCCCATGTGATCAAACTGCAGTCTTTGTTAGCGAAAAATCAAAGAAGTGTACTTTGATAACAGCAATAGATGTGCAATCAGCATTACAAATGATTGGCAGTCTTGAATATGCTTACAGACGAAGTGGACACTATGACCCAAATAATGCGTTTGTTGTCATAAATATTAACCATGATGATAAATTATATGAGGCTGTAAAATGTCAAATTTCTATACCTAAGGTAAACCTTTCTTCATAGTTAATTATTTCAACTCAATATGTAGGTATTAAGTTAATTTTTTTTCTAGGATGAAAAAATCAAATTTTATACATGGTTGTGGTACTATAAAGAAAGTGAATCTTCAAATAGTTTAAAATCTCATTTAGAAGAATTTTTAATGGTTAAAAAAGGATCTATATGGAAACCAAGATTTGTTCGTTTAAGGTATTATTATTACCTATACACTGTCATTAAATTTAAAACAAACTGAGAATCATATGTAAAACAATTAATATTTAAATATGAGTTACAATAACAAAAAATGATAAAAAATAACTTAAATTATGTTTTAGTGAAGATATTTTATACATATTTGAACATCCAGATCAAAAGTTACTGTGTGAATCGATACCTTTAAGATTTGGTCGTTGTAAAAAAGTCAAAAAAATTCGTTGTGATCGACCTCACTCTATTGAAATTCTTCTAATTAATTACCCAATCATTTTGGCACCTGCTGATTGTAGCCAAGAAGAAAAATGGTTTAATGCTCTAAGCTCTTCTTTGGCAGGTGTAAGTTATATTAATATTACGTCTAAATTACACAACATTCAATTTATAAATATTTAAAGTTAAAAATAAATACATAAACAATTTATTGATAAATAAATTGTATTCAAATGTTATCTTATAGCAAAACTATTTTATTGTTGATTAAATTTTCAGCACAAAAACTTAAATGTTGAATCCAAATTACCTGATGGGTACTGTTGTTTGTTGACCAATAGCCATATAGTTTTGTACAATTTTCCTCACACAATTACAGACAGTATGTTATTAGTCAATATGGATTCATTGAAATTATCGCCTTCTCCATCACACTATTATGTTGTAATTGTAAGTATAATAAGTATTTATATTTTCATTTAAAATTAAAATTTTTACAAGTTAAAATATTTATGATATATTTCATAAACAAGGAGTGGTCCTGTTACGATGCAACATTGGAGGAAAGCTGCAACGATTGGGTTGTGCATTTTTCTTGCAAATCAAGTTGCGATGAATTCATATCATGGTTGTGCACTTTAAGACCGGATTTAAATGCTTTGGAATTAGTTGAAAAAAAATCTATACAGCGACACCTTAAAAATAGTATAACTTTACAAAGCTCCCTAATTTAACTTATTTCACTATTTTTATGCTTGTTTTATTTATTTGTTACTAATTTCAAAATGTCACAATTCTCAAAACAAAAAAGGTTGTGCTTTCACATTTGTAGGATTTACTATTATTGGTTATATTAATTTTAACATTAACAGAGTAAAAAAAAAGGTGCTTATTTAAAGTTAAGTTTTTCTCGAGGTTTTTCTTAATTTAAGTGACTTATGATATTATGTATATTATACTAAAATTTTGTTTTTAAATGTTCAACTAATACAAGTAAATTACAGTGACGTACTTTGACCTACATTTTGGTAGAGGTCTTGTATCTAGGAATTGGTTGACCTTAACTGACTAAAAAAAAAATTCATAAAAAATTGGGTTGTTTGATGATAATCCCCCTTCCTCCACAAAGTACGCCACTTAAATTATAATGTAATATATTATACATATATATTGATAAAATGTATAATATTAATTTCTGTGATAGGATTCTTAAAAATTATCATTGTTGTTTTTTTTATTTATGCGATATGTAAGCTTTTTTATACTTGAATGTGACTGTTAAAAATGTAAGAAACAACCTAACTAGGATATTTTTAAACCACAAAATGATATGTTGTTTACAATTGCTTTATGTAGATGCATAAATATACTGTAATAATAATTGAGTTTTATAATACAAATCGTAACATATTTTTTTAAAGTATTATATCTGTTTGGGTTTCAAGATGTTAGGTCTTAGGTCAAATACAAACATAATTACATCCAAAACAATTAGTCGAAATCTCAATAAGTCCAATGTTGACAATGTTGTCCAAGTAACTTAAGTCTAATTTATTTTCTTTAAAGTGTATTTAGGTTCAGTTTATTTTTTAAATTCACTTTAGACAATACAAAAAATTTAAAAAAATCAGAGAGGTGTATCCTACCAATAAAAATTACACAAAAATCTAAACGAAGATGAGAAAATACAGAATAAGCTTAAAAATTCTAACATTTTATTGTATTTTATGTAGGTACATAATATGGGTGATCTTCAGTATTGTCAGTGTGTCACTACTCATAAAGCACATCTATTGTATAATTTTAATTTATCACACTGAATTAAGATCAATATATTACTCTTTTAAGAATGAGAAATAAATCCTAAAATATTTTTACTCCCTAACAAAATTACCCGCCTACCTGGCTTAAAAATTAAAATCGTTTGAGGCGATTGTCCCCCAAAAATATGTTTATGACGCGTCTGGTTATCTGGGCAAATCTAATACACATAATATAATATTACAGCATAATCATTACGAGGGCCAGGATTTGAATGCCCTAAATAATCTGAATAGTGCACATCAAAGTTTATTTAACTACAAACAATTTGTGAACTAGAATATGGCCAATTGCCGCGTACCATTACTCAGGCATCTGCGGTCACCCTGCAATTCAAATTGTCATACATGAATGGGTTGACTCCGATTCTCATACATGTATTACCAATTCCTTTCTAATTACCAATACGTGGTATATTGTATATGTCGTCTGGTGAATCATTTAATATTTTAAGATAAGATTTAAGATACTTACTCTATTAATTCCGCACCATTCATGTTCCGCACTTAATTATATCCACAGCAATTATGATAGTATAGTGATAGTGGTATATTGCATATTTGCATGGTCCGCTGGAGCGGGAACTAAACTTACAATTCGTCAGGAACACTGGAACAGTTAATGCTTGTTGTTGTATACTTGTATACCTATATTATTATTTATTACCCATGTATATTATATTGTGAGAAGTGAGGACGTTAGAACAAAAAAATGGAACCTACAAATAAAAACTGATTGTGGAATCGTTTCGGTGGTTAAAACAATCTTAATCGAAACACATTGTAGGTACATCGAACCGCTGCATGCTGAAACGAGTTTGTAAGTAAGTGTGGCCGTTTGGGACGCCTTTGGGTACGTTCAAGCGTACAACAGTCTGAGTGGCAGTTATTTTAGCTTATAATAATATAATACACTAGTTATTATGTCTATGACAGAAACTCACTAAATGTACAATGGCCACACGAGTGACTGGTAAATAACCGTATGCAACCACGTTAGGTACCTAAAATAGTAAAGGTTAGAACGCTCATAGACGTGATATACATAGACAAATATTTTTAAATTATTTTCATTTCTCAGATGGTACTAAGTGTAGATATCAGATCACCAAAAAATATTTTTAGTACATTTTAATCTTTTTACTATACATCATTACGGAGTTGTCAATAGTTGTTAGAGAATGTGTTGCTACTTAGACATGTGTAATAATATTATATATTTATAACAGAGGCGTTCTCAGGATTTTTTATTGGGGGGGGATATGAAAATTTATTTAACGGTGAGCCGTGGTAGCAAAGCCCCCACCCCTTTTTTGAATTAAAAAACAACATACATTAAATTATAACAATACTATATTTTTAATTAAAATATTAATTCTACAAAATTATATCCAGTTTTCTTGATTTTTGAGCCATCACATCAAGAACTTCTTTGGCATCAATTGGAATTTCTCTATGAACGGCCAACAATGTTAAGCCGTTAAGACGATTCTATGAATGAAATATAATTATATAAAATATGATATACGAAGTTATAATATTAATAAAAATATGTACTCCTTACTTCAGTCATTGAGTTTCTTAAATAGGTTTTTAGTCGTTTCATACATGAAAATGATCTCTCGGGAGTGGATGTAGATACTGGAATGGTACATAATATTTTTAATAATTTATAGATATTTGGAAAAATTGACTGTGTACATAAACGTAAAGCATCTATGGCTGCCTTAGGGTTTTTATTATTTGCTTTCAGTTTTACTTGCTTTTATTAATAATTATAATGGTATTATATCATTATAATGTTCAATATCAGATACCTTAAAAAAGTTATACCTACCTACCCGTTATTTAGCACTAAAAAAAAAAAAAAAAGGCCATGGGGGGGTTCTATCCCCCATATCCCCCCCCGTGAGAACGCCCATGATTTATAAATATATATATATCCAGGTATAGGTAAGCCCCAAACATAATAGATAATTTGTATGTAGGTACGTTAAACATCATGAATCATGATACATTTTTATTATTGGTAGGTACCTATACATATATATATTAAACAGCTAGATCTATTGTGAATGTTATAGTCTGTACTTTATAGTCACCATAAATGTTTAATATATATACGACATACGTGTTATATATAATAAAATATTATGTAGTTTAATCGTTTAATGTAACGAACAATGATATTCTCATTGACCGTATATAGGAGCGGACGTGCATTAAATCGGGACTTCTCTGCGATAATCATATTTTTGAAGACCATTTAAAAACAGAAAAGCGCACGTGACTAACCGTTTCCTACCTCTTAATCTATGTAGGTACCTATGTAAAATATTATAATATTGTATAGGTATTAGGTGGGGTATAGGTAAATTGACTCGATTCAATTTATACGGCCAACAGGTTTTTTTTCTTTTCATTTAGGATGCGCTATTAAATTGACTTCGTGCATATCATTTTATCCCGCTATTGTATAGGTAGTAGGTATGTATATATTATTTCTTCGTCATAATACGAAACGTTCCAGTGAAACTTGGAAAATGCGTAAACTCACTTTCACCGTAGTAAAACCTACCTGTATCAAAGTACGATATGTTTAGAGTGCCATTTCTCGTGTATATAATACTATAATCACTACGCACGGCGGGTCATCATGACCTATACGCGTACATCTTTATGTTTATTTTATACGTTGTTCGAAACGTTCTATTCGTTTGTGATTCAGAGTGAAACGAGAACAGGAAGAACTGCAAAAAACGTTGATATACGTATATCTATAAGCAATCTCACCGCAGTATTCTGACATATTTTGGCTTTAATTTTGAGCGCGTGCCAAGTTCAAAACTCCGCATTTCCAACTCAAATTTTAAGTTATCCGTTTGACGCTCTTCAGTGGCCTCTCCAAGTACCTATACCTAAGGCTTAATGGAAATATACAATAACGACGAATACGGAATGACACAAGAATTATTACGATTTACATTCAAATAAACATATGTTTTTTAGTATTTACTAGGTACTTTACTTATTCAGTGATTAGCACACAACTAATTACAATATTTGTAATCTAATCTTATAGGTAGGTACTTATAAATTTGAATGGACTTATCTGGGTCATTATAATTTATGCCCTACCGTCCACCCTGAATCATTAATATATATGATTCAGCTTCAGCACTCAGTTAAACTTTTTTTCAATACGAACGTACTTAGCCTTGTCCATCTACTTCCTCTTCCCAAAATTCAAAGGCCAAGCCTGGTCAAAAGAAGCAGATTTAAAAGTTAAAATTAGTTTAATATACAAAATAAGCCCTTCAGAACCACAAACTGCTAAAATATTTCAAAATTGGGGAGACTATAAGCCCTATGGTGGAGATCTATATTATAATCGTATTGATATTGCTAATGGTGTTCGAGTATCTTGCAACAAAATACAAACAAAGGTTAAAAATATCATATTTCATTTATTTAGAACTGTTACATACACAGAAATACAGAATATGCAATTACCTATACATGTACGACTAAAGATAATTACATATTATAAAAATTAAAACAATAATTATTATTTACCTATTATAGGTATACACACACATACCCTACGGATAATAATTTACGCTGTTTACGGTATACCATTGACATACTATAGGTAATACTCAATAGATTTTTTTTTATAAAATGGCGAATATTAAGTACAGGTGCCTGCTAATTTTATACTTTACATATTTTATACTATATTTAAGTATTAGGTTTATGTTTATACAAAAATTAAATAAATGTTAACCTACTTTTGGGCAAACATTCTCTAATATGTGTAGTATATAATATGTCGTGGGCATATAGTCAAATAAGGAGTTTTACTAAATGCATATTCAAAGAATTTAATTTTATATTTTTATCCTCCTACTATTTAGTTCAATGCCCAAACGTTTAACTAAATGCCCATTTCAAGTCGAGCAAATAATACAAATGAAATGTTTTTGTATTGTTTTAAAAATTAAACCGTATTTTCTTATTAATATGTAAACATTTAAGATAATATGTATATAGGAACCTATACAAAATATATTTGATATCGTGTTAATAAGTTATGTGTTATTTTTATATAGAATAACAATAAATAATTAGTAACAAAATATAGTTTAATTTTTAAAATAATACACAAACGTTTCATTTTTAATATTTGCCTGACTTGATACATAGGCATTTAATTAAATGACTATATCCGGAATAGTCATATTTTCACCTAGGTGAATAGTTAGGGATTTAGTAAAATACATGATTTTACTATATTCCGATGACATATTGACAAGAAAATTGCCGCTCGAAAAAGTTTTAAGAAAACGGATTTCCTCTATGCTTCATATCGGAAAAATATTGTTTTTTTCTACGAACGGTTATACCTATAAAGGTAATATCTGAAAACACTAACTCGATTTTGACAATATTGCGCGACGTTCGGCACTTTTCTCGCTAAACTTAAGACGCGGGGTACGTATTCCTTGCATGTTGACAAACAGTTTACTATATGAAATAATGTCATCAAGCACGTTCCTAACCTATATAATACTATAATCTTGAGGTGCATTCGGATCACAGAATATCTCACGAAGATGTCTTATGTATGAAGTCACCGCCGGGTAATATACGTCCATTTGGCATTCCTTATACTAGCGAATCTTCGTGAAACACTCTAGGTGCACCACTCTGGCACTTTATACCTGGCCATATATAATTGGTATTTGCAGTTATTAAACTATTGCCGAGTTGCATAAAAAAAAAAAAAATTCATCACCAAAACGAACCAATCGTGGGCAACTACATCGTGTTTGAGGGACCATATGATACGTATATCATAGCTGACTAGGTATTGATTCATTAAATGTTAAATGATTTTTTTTACACAACTCGGCACATGTGCAGTGTGCACTTACATATTATATGTATAGTATATATGACACCGGGGTTGCCTCTGCAGGGCTTTGATTCGACCGTACGAATAAAATGCGAATAAATAAATTAATAAATTAAATAGACTAGATAGTCGATATTTACACAATAGAATAAATTATTAAAAGGCGCTTGAAAAAATAAAGAATAAATAAATAATAATGTTTTTAAATTAACGGCGGTGGTGGAGTCGGTCGTTGCCGCAACAAAGCAGCGATGGGTTGTGTATCCGGCGTCTTGCGGCGGCGACGTTTTATGCTCGTATGCGTCCTTCTCGACGACGCGCGTTGCTCGCTCTTTCTGGCGTGATGACTTTGGACACCGTCATCGTCGTTGTGGTCGTGGTGTGGATGATCGCTGTCTTCTTGGCGAAGACTATGATGATGTTGGTTTTGGTGGTCGTGATGATAACCGTGGTTGACGTACTTGACCTTGGGCCGCGGACCGAACACCATGTTCCGGACGGTCATGAAAATGGCCGCGTTCAGGGCCATGTTGTTGATCATCAGCGCCGACATGACCATCATCTTGAGGTTGGCGAGAACGATCGGCGCGAAGCCCAGTGCGATCAGCTGCGGTATCAGCATGTACGGGTTCAACATCATCTTCTTGAAGTGTCCACGACCTTCAGCCGGCCCGGTGGCCTCGGTCGTCTGCAGCGAGGACGCGTCAGGTCCGGCTGAATCGGACTCGGCGGCGGCGACGGCCAGTACGAGCGCGAACCCAAGAACCGACGCTAGCGAACCCCCAACCGATCGTGGAGCGTTCATCGTACGCGTGGCGGCTGCTAAGAAGACACTGACCATCGGCGGCAGTGACGATAGTGGCGTCGTCGACGGCGTCCGCGACCGTGATACTATAATAATAGCTCGTCGATCCGTCCGGACGCCGCGAGCGGTAGCCGGTTTTCGCGATCACCAGTTACCGGGTTGTAGAGAGGAGGCGCGATGCATTCCACGCGCAGGACCCGTCGCCGATTGACCCACAAAACCGTTGACCGGCTTATACCATCGCCGCCGTCGTCGTCACAATAACGAGGGCACACCGCAACATATGATGACGACGAGCGTATATGATTATAATATAATATTATTTTCGACAAGTGTTCTCGGCTAGACCGGTTTTTTCTAAAAAAAATGTTTTCGACCGTACGACGCTGTTTCTTCGGAAACGCGCGAAAGTCTCGTCGCCTATAGTACCTACCTATACTAAATATAATTAAATACAATAATTTTACATCTACCTATGTGAAATTTTTTTCAGATTACTAATTCTTACTACCGTGGTATAGAAGTCCAGAAATATTAAAAAAGCATTTGGTCCTCGTGGACAACTTTAATAAGCTTAAAAAACAATCCACTAAGTACCTAATAACACTTAGCTTATTAAAATAATTGAATTTTAACAGCTTCAATAAATTATTCTAATTGATATATTCTACTTTTAACCATAGCAAATACACAACTTCCTTTTTTTTTACCAAGTATATAAACCACTTAAGCGTTTGTTATACCCATATTGGAGATGAGATAAAACTTCATTATTTCGAGTGAGGAAAAGATCTCATTACATGCAGTATCAATATTTTCAAAATCTTATCGTTCTTACTATTGGCAGTAAGCACACGGGGGTTTCATCGATTACGCCAGATATTTTTTATATAAGAGAAAAAACTAAAAAGGTACTTGTAGTTTGCTACCTGCCGCTACTTCGTTAGTGAGTATGCTTCATCTAGTTCATCTTATCGGTAAATTGTTATTTGTAGTATACTAATATGACATACCTATTGACACCCCTGTAATATTCTTAAAAATGTTATATTTTTATTTCATTTTATTATGGGAAAGTTATGACCTGTGACTTGAGTCATTACGATTTACGATAAAAACCTAACGGTCTACAATACTATAATACCAATTATTATGATAACTGGTAAATATCCAAGACAACAATAATTTACTTTTTTGGGATGACGTAAGAGCAACATGACGTATAACAATAGTTATATAACATTTTTAAATACTTAACAATGCTATGATAATCAGCAAAACATTTATAAGAAAGTTTTAGTTTAACACATTCATTTAATTAGTTATTTGGTAAAATACACCGTTTCTGCACGTATAGATAAGTACACGTGTACAGTTTTTTGGTATAGGTACTAGGTAGGGTATTATTACACGGTTATCGTAAATATGTTGAAATTGATCCTTCACAATTTTGCCAATTTTAAGTTTTATAAGTTTAGATAATAATAACTCTATGTTGATATAGGTAGGTATAGATATCTACTGTTTGTCATACCAAGTATATTTATAAATGCTGACCATAGTCGAATCATGATTTATTGAAAGATTATGAAACTACAAAAATTAATCGTTTACACTACATCAGTTTGGCATCGTCGTTTATAGAGTAGTTTAAAAACTGATTATTCAATATTTTGAACAATATTATTAAAAATAATATAATAAATAAATATTATTTATATTTTATGATATTATTTCGATTATTGTATAATTTATAGATGATCGGTATCTGCAGATATATTATTTTGCAGATATACAATTAAGATTGGTAAAATATCGTTCACTCGTCAATCCTCACTTGTAATTCATTACTGCAATTTATTAGTTGCCATAGTAACTATATATTCACTGAAATAAAAAGGCGAATAACCGATTATGTTAAAAATAAAGAGTCATCGATTTTTTTATAGTTTATCCTAGCATTTATTGATAAACATTATTAAACTGACGATAAAATCAAAAATTACCTTTCAGGTATAATAACAGACAAATAATAAAACATTCAATTGGAAGATATGCAAACTTGCTTTGCCCATCATGATCTAAATAAACAAAATTAATCACAAGTAATCGTATATTTTCCGCTGATTGAACATTATTTGGAGTAGCAAATTGTTAAAAATTATTGTTATACCTATAGTAATTTATTAATTATTTTGTTGAGGTTCAAATTTCCATTGTGAAGAACTGAACTGTATGAATACTAAATACTTACATTAAACAGATAATTTTAATTAACAACTATTAATTAACTACATTGTATTAATAATGATTCATTTTATCTGTAAAATTTCCTTTGGGTTTCAAATTGAATAATTTCATTAGTGTTAATATATAGTATGTTAATTAATTTGAAAGTCAGTAGCTCTATATCAAAATATAATACAGATATTGTAATGCATATTTGTCTATTTGTTTTAGGTAATATATGATTAATAAGTAATAACCTTAATAAGTATTAATCTTCCTTAGACTATGGTTTAAAAAAATAATTTCAAGATATTTCAAAAATACAGCATAATATTGTAGAATTGTATGGTTTTCACAATTTGAAGACTAATGCTTATCTAATAGCTAATAACGAACACAATACTCGTTGAAATTGTATGTGATATATTTTATTCGTTTTTATACGTACAATATGTATCCACCATGAACTGTTAGTGGTTTATTATATAGATCGTAATTAAGCGCTGGTGGATTAAAGTGAAGGTCGATTGGTTAGGTGAAGTTGATTGGTAATGCGAGAAATCAGATCATTTTTAAATGGACTATGGCCACGCGTAGTCATGAGGATCTGGTCATCTGGTATAGATAAATACAGCCTAATATAAAGATTGTAACACACCTATATGCCTATCAACCGGTATATTCGTGCCCTAAAAACCAATCATAAAGCTATTATAAGATTCACTATACAATGACCTAATCCATAGAACACAAGATACTTATTATATGTATATAAATCTCAATTCTTACATTATAAATATGGCTAGAGATATCGCCATATACTTATATAGGTATTTTCTCCAGCATCCAAGTACAGTTTTGTTTATATGGTATTAACTTATTAGTAATTAGATAGTAATTAGTAATAACTAATTTATACTAGTTTTATTTTATTCTGTAACGAAAGGTGTCATGCTTATTTTATTGTGTAAAGAAAATGTCTAAATAATATGGAACAATAAAAAAAACCATTAATTTGTACTATGAGAATTAGGATTAAAATAATGCCGTAATTCTAGGTGAAATTGCATAGTAAAATTTAATAGACACCAACATCACATTAGCATGAATGACATTTATGTAAATATTAAAATATACTTATTATTTTATCTTATTTAAAGTTAAATTAAGTAGAAAATTCCATAGTACATATTGTTGTTTCAAACAGTCGATTTTATTAAAATTAAAAATTACATACCACATATAGTATTTAGGTACCTACTTATATTGGAAATATTAATTTTTTTAAATCTATTTGTATTATATATTTTTGCATATTTTGAAAAAAAATGTGATGAATACTGAATAGTGATTACAAATATTGAATAGGCACCTATAAAGTATAATTTTCTATGGTTGTATTTTCTTTATTTAAATATTTTTGTTCTTAACTACCCACTGGAATTGTTTAATATAATGACTATTAAGTATACACACCACACACATACTTATCTATTTTAATAGTTTATTTATTTCCTGTCTCTAATGATAATGCATGTTAATAATTAATTAGATAGTTTTTCTAACGTATTTTTACATTCTAATTTGTGTGAATATAGATGATGAACATGTGTTATATGTATGTAATTGTTAAACTGCAGCGCTGTTACTTGTCGAGTAATAGTTGTAATATGAAAGTTAAAAAAAATATAGATCATAGATATATATATTCAATATTGTATTAATTTTGGACCCTATATGAACATATTCAGTGGGACCCATTATCTGCTTGAAGAATAAATAAAAAAAAAAAAATAAATATGGTCTTAGTGAGTAATTCCAGCTATCAATGTTTAAAAAAACTATATTTTACTGTTTTTATCGTGACATTAACATAATATCTACCTACATTGTTAACAAAGTACACAAATTCACATGACATGGTTTTCAAGGAAAATTATAATAGGTACCTACTTTTTTAATATTGGCGTACATTTATAGAATAAATAAATATTGATAACACTTACAATCTACTTCTGATCTAATACTATAAACAAATGTTCAAAGAAAAATAGACAAAAAATACTGAAAATTAAGAGCAGGGGAGCTAGTAGGACCCTTGTGCGGAGTTTTCAGCCCGAGATACCTGTTATTGGTCTTATCAAGTTCAGTGATCGGAAACAATCAGACTGTATCATTAGTTAGGGTAGTTAGTAAGGGCTATGGATGTAGCACATTCGGGTGTGGCATCCTCTTACTCTGTCTTTATGATTATGATGTGACCATTGCATCGGCAGCTATGTGGCTAGATATGTGACAAGTTCATCTCTATTATAGGGGTTTTCTTATGATTTTTCTCCTTTTTATATATTACTATACTTTTTTTATTTAAGAACGATTACAAAAAATAAATTCAGAAAATAATTTAAGATATTTAATAACTTATAATTTTAAATAAATACATTTATAGGTATAGAGAATTTAAATATTTTGAATTAAAAATTATCTCTTTGTATAGCCTTATCATTAAAAATTACTAAAACAATCGAAATGGTATTGTTATTACTTGTATTAAAAAGTGTCTAATAAATTTCGATAAAAACCTGTAAAATATAAAGAGAATCTATGGAGACAAATTGCACAGTGTACATATTTCATCTCGCAAATGGGCAATGGCGCCACTAAAATAGAGACTATAATAGCTGATCGTCGAAGTTAATATTTACATGCCATTACGGAACCGTGCCATCACGGGAAGTACGGCTGATCGCTTTTATGTATAAGTATCTACTTTATTATTAACACAAATAAACAGTACCTATAAATTATAATCTATATATAAATTATGCAATGTGTAACAATATCGTTTATGAACT